CTTTTCTTTTCTTTTCTTTTCTTTTCTTTTCTTTTCTTTTCTTTTCTTTTCTTTTCTTTTCTTTTCTTTCTTCCTTTTCTTTCTTTCTTCCTTTTCTTTCTTTCTTTTTCTCTTTGACTAAAGCCCACTCTTGCTTAAAGACTCATTTCAGGGATCACCTCCTTCAGAACGCCTCCCTGAATCCCCAGGCTGGCTCAGTGCCCTCCTCGTGTTCGGCAACATTCTGCCCACACCTTCCCTGATGATAGTAAAATTGCCCATGTGTGCGGCTATCCGCCCCTGCTAGACAGTACCTTCGAGGACAAACCCTGCATTATTTTTTATTTTGCCAACCAGCATCTAGTACCAAGCCTGGCAAAACACAGGCGTTTGTTATTGTTTGTTGACTGAGCTGACGGGAAGGAGAATATTCGGATGGGAGACTACATCGGGCAACCAGACACCCCCAGGAAACCTGGGGACCAGGCAACTCTACCAAATGGCTGGTGTGTCCCGTGCGGCTCTGTGGTGCAGTCATATTGCTTCTAAGTCCACCGAAGACTAGAAGTTGACTAGGGCTCTTGGACATTCTGCAACAAATTGGGAATCAGTAAAGTGGAATGGTTAAAACCGTAAATTTTATGTCTTCTGTGTGTGAGCTCACAATAAGCACTTACAAGAGTCAGTTACTATTATTGATATCTTCCTAATTTGGGACAGTTCTAGGAGGGGTCTGAAGCTGGTCATTATCCCTGAGTATGCCTTAAGACTGACTAAGAGCCTTCTGGAACCACTGAAGGTCACTTGGGTCTCTAAGGGGCTGCGGTGGACCCCCCAGGAGATTAGGATCTGTCTCAGTTGGTGTCTGGGGCTGGGGCAAGGGCACAAATAAAATGACCGTTGGCTTGCTCATCAGAGACATCCCCTCCCCCTCTAACTTCTCAGGCAGAAACCATCTCCTGGCAGGGCTGGAAAGAACTAGGCATCCGTGGGTCATTTTCCACCTTCAGTTCCAAAAACTCAGTGCAGGCATTTCCTAGTCATGTTCTTGCCTTGTTTTCTTTTGTCCTTTCCTTCAGTTCATTTGTTTTCTCAGGGAACATTCTTTTCAAACTGACCTCTGATTCTGACCCCATATAGGAGAGTCCCCATAGAGCCTTGTCACCACAGGTATTGGCAGGACCAAGGGGAACAAAGACCACGATCTGCCTTCATTCTCTCAGTGGGTGAGATAAGCAGGAGTCCTTGTCCCACGTTAACCGGGATAACTACTGCCTCCATGTTCCACGTCCGTTGCCTGCAGCAGGCCAGCCCTCTTCCCTAACCTGTGGATAGCCCGCCCCTGTGGGGTTGGCCAGCCACACAGCTGCCACCGCCTGTCACCATGTCGGCTCTTGATGAAAGAGCCGCTCCAGCTGTGCCCACCTTCTGTCTTCCCCTGCATGGGGCTTATCAGAATTCACAAAGGGTTGGGTTTTCAGAGATCAAGGCAAGGAGCCAAGATCCGACTCTGTCCACATTTCTTCCTGGTGGATAAATGCCAAGCCCATAAATAGGGGCTCTGTGTTCCTCACAGACTCTGTGAGCTTTCTGAGCCTTGGAATATAAATGCTGAACACCTTCAACTGCGCTACTCTTCCACAGCCCTTCTCATGGCTTCTCCTCGGCGTGAGGTCAGAGCCCCAAGAACCTGCTGGGATGACCCATGATACCTGGACTAACGGTGAATGTGGGCCTCAGTAGTTGGCTGCCATTCTGGGGAATATGAAACCAAGTTAATCCACAGAGCCCATTGGAAGGAAGGCCTTCAGGATTACAGTAGGCACCAGGCTGTGCTGTGACCCAAAGGGAATTTCTCTTTGAGTACAAGCCTTTACAGAGGTCCTACAGAGCCTCGAAAATCTAGTCAGGATCTGTCCATGAGATCTCTCTATTTTTCCCTAGAGCAAATGGCTACAATTCAGATCATAAAATGACTTGAATGAAGGCTGATTTCTGATTGTTCGCCTGCTCAGGCTGCCATAACAAAATACCGTAGACTGAATGGGTTAAACAATAGAAATGCATTTTCTTACGGTTCTGGAGGCTGGGATTTCAAGATCAAGATCCTGGCCAATTCGGTTTCTGGAGAGAGGTCTCTTCCTGGCTTGCAGCTGGCTACTTTCTCCCTATATCCTCATATAAGGAGATCTCTCTCTCTCTGATCTTCTCATAAGGCCACGAATCCTATTGGATTAGAACTCCACCCTTATGACTTCATTTAACCTCAATTACCTCCTAAATCCCCTGTCTTTAAATAAAGTCACATTATGGATTAGGGCTTCAATGTGTGAATTTTGGAGGGGTCACAATTCAGGTCATAGCACCGAGAAAGCTTCCCTTAGAGCCACATTTATTTATTCCAGAATGTACATTAATTGAGCATCTACTGACTACCTACTTAGGATGCATGATAAACAGAGTAGACATAGTCTTTGCCTTTGTCATTCATAGTTTAATGAATAAGTGAATCATTAATCAAATAACCCCACAAATACCCATGTAATTTCAAAACTTTACCATTTATGCCACGAAGGAAAAGTAAAGAAGGAGTTGACTGTTTTTAGGGTGAGGGAAAGTTCTTCTGAGAAGGTGACACTTAAGCTGAGACCTGAAGCATTGTTAAGAGTGGGGGTACAAGAAGACACAGTCATTTTGGTCATGGATGGTGTCATGTGCAAAGGTCTTGAGATGGGAAATAAGTTGGTGTAATCCAGGACCTGATGTGAAGGCCATTATTGCTGACATGCAGGGAGAGGGACAGTGACAAGAGATGAAGGGGGCAGAGGAGGAAGAAGGTAGCTCATGCGAGGCTTGGCAGGTCACGGTAAGGAACCTGGTCATTATATCAAGAACAAGGGGAAACGGCTGAAGGGCTTCAACTAGGGAGGTGATGGAGTAGGTTTGGGTTTTGTTTTTTTTTTTAAGATGACTATGGCTGTATGAGGAAATGGGGTAGAAAACAGCAAGCATTGGAGTGAGTTCAGTTAGGATGCTATTGCAGTAGATTCTTCTAGTGGGGAGTGATGGTGGCTTGGGCTGTGTTGGTGGAGATGAGATGGGGGAGAGTTGACAGGACTCAGCGCTGGACCAGATAAGAGACGTGAGGGAGAGAAAGGCTTGCGGACTAACAGTGGTTTTCTGGCATGAGAAACTGGGTGGATGGACGTGCTGTTTTCTGAGCTGGGGAACAGCAGAGAAGGAGGAGGAGCGGGTAGGGAATGGCAGCATTCCTTCATTACTAACAGTACCCTACATGGTTGTAGCAGAAGTGGGAAAATGCAAAAATTGCTTTTTTTTTAGGTATTGAATGTGCATTCTCATTCCATCTGAATGAGGAAATGAGTAGAAAGGCAATAAGCTGAAAGATGAGTCTATAGTTTTGGTTGAATTTCTTCCCATTATTCTGAACTCACGCTCACCTTTTGGTGCCTTGAGGCCAGCAAATGAGGCTGCATTTCACCCTGAAATCTTGCCTGCAGTTTCAAAAAGACTTATTTCAGAGCCACTTGCATGTTATTTATAGGGATTTCTACCACTTGGCCCCGTTCTGTGTTTGGTGTTTGGAATTTGAGTGGCTGGCTGATCCTCATCTTCCTGTAACTGGATGCCTAAACTCTTTCATAAGCATGTTTTGCTGAAGGTCCACGGGCTGCTGTGGACTGGGTCTTGGGCACAGCTTGCAGGGCCTCGGGCGATCTACATGGCAGGTCGTATTCACTACAGAATCAGCTCTTGATTTCCCAAGCAGTCTCAGAATCACAGCTCACCTCCATAAATTTCTCATCTGGGGAAGTAATTTTTCCCAACCAGGCTCTGCTGCACCCAGAGTCAGGTGCTATATCTGGGTTCAGTTCAGTATGTACTCTTGCAAACCTATGTTGTGCAAAATTCTTGAGTATCTTGAGTCTGATGATGGTGTGGTAGGGAAGGCTTAAAACTCTAGAAACAGTGTCTGTAGGGATGAAGATTTTAAGTTGATTCCTGAGAACTCTCACAGATAGCAGAGGGTTTGGGAGTCAGGACTAGAAGGGTATCGCTTAAGTTTCCATTACCAGTATTCCCAGTGTTTTAAGCCATTTTTCAACTGAGTCTACCAGATGGTCCTGAGGACAGAACAGCTATTTGTGCCTCTCGGTGACATCTATTTTTCCAAGTGAGAGACTGCCCCGTATGTCAGTGCAATATGTCGCTCAGGGTGAAGAATCAGTTTGTATTGGTGGGAACCTGCCATTTGCTGTCCTCCTTATCCCTTATGCCTTTTCTGCCTCTCTGGTCTTTTCTAGGTCTCTGGCCTGTCAGGAGGACCCCTGGTGCTGCGGTGCAAGCCAGCGGCTAAGTCTCGTGTATGGCGTGGTTAAGGTTGCAGCCTCTCACCTCTGCCTTCCTCCATTTTGGGCTGATTACTTTTGTGCTCTTCCTGAACGGTCTTCGGGCAGAGGCTGGCACCTCAGGGGATGTGCCCAGCACAGGGCAAAACAATGAGTCCTGTTCAGGGTCATCGGACTGCAAGGAGGGGGTCATCTTACCAATCTGGTACCCGGAGAACCCTTCCCTTGGTGACAAGATTGCCAGGGTCATTGTCTACTTTGTGGCCCTGATATACATGTTCCTGGGGGTGTCCATCATTGCTGATCGCTTCATGGCATCTATTGAAGTCATCACTTCTCAAGAGAGAGAGGTGACTATCAAAAAGCCCAATGGAGAGACCAGCACAACCACGATCAGGGTCTGGAACGAAACTGTCTCCAACCTGACCCTCATGGCCCTGGGTTCCTCTGCTCCTGAGATCCTCCTCTCTCTAATTGAGGTGTGTGGTCATGGGTTCATTGCTGGTGAACTGGGACCTTCTACCATTGTGGGCAGTGCAGCCTTCAACATGTTCATTATCATTGGCATCTGTGTCTACGTGATCCCCGATGGAGAGACTCGCAAGATCAAGCACCTACGAGTCTTCTTTGTCACTGCTGCTTGGAGCATCTTTGCCTACATCTGGCTCTATATGATCCTGGCAGTCTTCTCTCCTGGTGTGGTCCAGGTTTGGGAAGGCCTCCTCACTCTCTTCTTCTTTCCGGTGTGTGTCCTTCTGGCCTGGGTGGCAGATAGGCGACTGCTCTTCTACAAATACATGCACAAAAAGTACCGTGCAGATAAACACCGAGGAATCATCATAGAGACTGAGGGTGACCACCCCAAGGGCATTGAGATGGATGGGAAAATGATGAACTCCCACTTCCTAGACGGGAACCTGGTGTCCCTGGAAGGGAAGGAAGTGGATGAGTCCCGCAGGGAGATGATCCGGATTCTCAAGGATCTGAAACAGAAGCACCCAGAGAAGGACTTAGATCAGCTGGTAGAGATGGCCAATTACTATGCTCTTTCCCATCAACAGAAGAGCCGTGCCTTCTACCGGATCCAAGCCACTCGGATGATGACTGGCGCAGGCAATATCCTGAAGAAACACGCAGCAGAACAAGCCAAAAAGGCCTCCAGCATGAGCGAGGTGCATGCAGATGAGCCTGAGGACTTTGTCTCCAAGGTCTTCTTTGACCCATGCTCTTATCAGTGCCTGGAGAACTGTGGGGCTGTACTCCTGACAGTGGTGAGGAAAGGAGGGGACACGTCCAAGACCATGTACGTGGACTACAAAACAGAGGATGGTTCTGCCAACGCAGGGGCTGATTATGAGTTCACAGAGGGCACTGTGGTCCTGAAGCCAGGAGAGACCCAGAAGGAGTTTTCCGTGGGCATCATTGATGATGACATTTTTGAGGAGGACGAACACTTCTTTGTGAGGTTGAGCAATGTTCGCCTAGAGGAGGAGCCGCCAGAGGAGGGGATGCCTCCAATAGTACTCAATAGTCTTCCCTTGCCTCGGGCTATCCTGGCGTCCCCTTGTGTGGCCACAGTCACGATCTTGGATGATGACCATGCAGGCATCTTCACTTTTGAATGTGACACGATTCATGTCAGTGAAAGTATTGGTGTCTTGGAGGTCAAGGTTCTGCGGACATCAGGTGCCCGGGGCACAGTCATCGTCCCCTTTAGGACAGTAGAAGGGACAGCCAAGGGTGGTGGAGAGGATTTTGAAGACACATATGGAGAGCTGGAATTCAAGAATGATGAAACTGTGTAAGTAACCTTTCCACATCCGATCTCTCTCCATCCCTTGCCACCTCCTTCTCTCCTTCTGTACCACTCTTTAAAACTTTTCCTTGTATCCATGTTAATGTCAAACTTTGGTTCCATCACAGGTGTGCAGAATCAGCAGACACTACTGCCAGGTTCTGCTTCCAAACTCTCCTTTAGTCTTTTCACTTTAAATTATTTTGGGGCAAGGAATCCCATGGCAGAATCTAGGGACACAGAACATGTTGTCCACTAAAACTCAAAATGATGGCTGGTGGAGGTGTGGGATGACTTCTAGAAGTTCTGCTGTCAGATTTGGGGGAATTTTTGGACTAAGCAAGAGCTAGGAGACGATTTGGGTCTCTCCTTCCTCCTCTTCTCATTCCAAGGGCTTACATGAGCTTTGAAGTCAATCTTTTCCATTCTGAGACAGTGATAACCCAATCAGGACATCCTCAACAAAGTAAGTGACATTGGCTCCCCCCACCCCTAGTACCACTTTGCAGTTGTATTGTATAACCAGATTTCAGGCACCTTTCCTTCAATTTAGAAATTGCAAAATTGGTTAAAACTTGGCAGTCTCTTTAGACACCAGTAGGCTAGTTTATAGTGTGAGGCTCGCCCAGTCTAGGTGAGATGAGTCACTATGGTTTGGGTCCTGAAGGTATCTTGGAGAAGCAGAGCCCAGGGCAGCGGCCACCTGTCTTAGTCACAGGTCTAAGTTCCAAAATCTGGCTAAGCAGTGAAGGAGAAGCCTCTTAGAAACTGGGGGGGGGGGGGGACATCTTCTGTGTGGCCATTTCTCTTCACAGTCCAGAATTCTCCTAAAATACTTCTCATGTTACCGCCCCACGTAGTCCTTCAGACACTGTGAGTCTTACACTTCCGTTGCCTCTGTCACTCTGAGGCCTCTTGTACTGGGTGTTCTGTTCTTTTCTCGAATGGATATCTTTGAAGAAGAAAGCAGATTGACTTTCCCCAGGACTTTCAGCTTATGAGAGGGGAGGCTTTCCAGGGTGGTCAAGAGGGGCGGGGATGAGAAAGGGGAACTTTGTCTCTGAATTCCTGTTCACGTCCACAAGCAGTAAGCAGTAGAAGGTGTGGAGAACAAAAGGGGCATAGAGAAAGTGGGGGATGTCAGCCACTCCAAGAACCTGCTAAAGACACTTCCAATGGGAAATGAAAACTCTCATCTGTAAAGTGAGAATAACAATACTTTCCTTGACAAGAGGCAAGGTGAGATCTTTTTGCAGTTTCTCCCAGCTCTGGGACTTTTCTGAGCAAGGGACATAGGTGTTCAATGTAGGTCATACTTGCACTAGCCAAAGATGGAACAGGGGATATTGTCCCCTGAAGTGAAATAGCCACTGATAAATTGATTTATTAGAGCTCTGTTCAGTCATTTTGCTGGGAAGGATAATGACTTGTTAGCATAAGAAAAAACCTGTACCTTCTGGAGAATACTGTCCAGTTATATGTGCTCTGGGGAGAGCGTTTATACGTACAAATGAGAGACAGGCCCTTCCGTCTCTTGGCAGGAAGAAACACGCCATGAAATTTCACACGTATATATGCCAATGTCAGTATATAAGAGGTTATTGTCAGGCATTGAATAGCATCAAGACCACAGCATTAGCCGTAATTGGACAGACTTGTAGTTCCTTCTATTCAGTACTTATCTACCAAGGGAACCGAAGGGTAGTTTTTGAGAGGTCCGAAGCTTGGATCCCAATTTCTTCATTTCATTAATAATCAATTTGTGCACCTAAGATCTCTGAATATCACTCATCCTTCCTCAAACCTATTTGTGTTTTCAGCTTGAATACCATCTTGGTGTAAATGACCCTTATGAATGATCACTTCTGGGTGGTGCTGGTGCTAAATGTATATCGACTTCCACACGTTTGAGATGCCAGTCCAGGTGTTCTAGGGTTTCCCATCTGTTCCTTTGCGTCGTATTTTAGACTTCAATAGACTTTAGACTGCCCTTTTGGTTTCCTTCATTGCAAAAGAATAAGCCCAAAGCCTGCTAGTCTTTTCTCACAAAGGGAGCCCTACCTTTGATACTTTAAATTGTAATTTTACAACTAGAGGCAGTATGATGTGGCAAAAACAAACAAACAAACAAAAACCATGGGCTTTAAGTACAGTGTTCTGGGTTATTCTGGCTCGACTACTGATTTAACGATGCAGTGAGGAAATTTTATTAACTTATGAGATTATTTCCTCATTGGTAAGATGAGAATAAAAATGTCTGTCTTACAGGGCTGTTACAATGATTCAAGATATTATATACAGTGTTCCCTGAACATGGTATATGCTCAGTAAACATGGCCAGTAATTAAGAGTATTCTACAGAAGACACAATTGAGGTAATCAGGTTACTTGGATCTCTGTGTGACTCTAATTAATAAGCATGATAGTTTTTAGGTTACCATGAAGATCACCAATTGAAACTCATCAAATATTAGAGCCAGAAAGGACCTTAGACTATCTCCTAGAGAAGTGCCTCTCAAATGTTAATGTGCTTATGAGCCCCCAGGGATCGCACTGAAATGCAGATTATGATTGAAAAGGTCTAGGGCAGGGCTTGAGATTCTGCATTTCTAATAAGCCCTGATGCTGCTGGCCCCAGGTTAGAGTTGAAAGGCTCTAATACTCTTGATCAAACCGTGAAACCCAGGAAGGAATGTGGCTTTTCAAAGGACTTGCATAATTGGGTCACGAATGCTTGCTTCCCAGTTCCAGTGTTCAGCTCCATCTTAGCTAGACTCTAGCCTTTGCCCTGAGACCCTGCTAATTGCAATGCCAATCTGGAAA